TTCACTGCCTTTTTATCCATCTCAAACCAACCGCCCTGGGCAACTTGCAGCATTGTGGTCAACTGGACTACAAAAGGAACATTTGTTTTTTCTTTTTGGATGCAACTCAAGTGCTGACTCAAGCCGTTTAGATTTCACACGCCCTTTAGTGGTTGACTTAGGTGGATCCCTAGGAACTCCTGCAATTGGTGCAGACCCACTTGGCACTGGTGTAGGATCAATAGATGGAGTTGTACGACTATCAGGAGGTGGCATATGAGCACTAGTTGCTATTGGAGGGGCGCCATGCCCTGGAAGAGCAGGCATTTTGGCCTTCTTTTCCTTGCACTTGTTGAAATGGTTAAGCTCTGTGCGCGCCGCTCTCATGTGTTTCTTTAGAATTGCGGTAGTAGCATCTGACCCACTAGCAACCCGAGCAAGACTAGAAAAATCCATTGACAAGTTTATATGACGGAGTTGCTTTTTTGACGCTGGTGGCATCTCGTCAGGATCTGGCTCAACAGCAGATGCTGCTCCTGTAATTGCTTGTTGTGTCCACCTTCTAAGTATGTATCTCTCAGGTATTACATCAACCCCAAGATGTGTAAATTTTTCAAAATGTGGCAACACAACATTCCATCTTTACACATCTTGTAGCACTCACAATTGTATTCTTCAGCAACAGCTTCCACTGTCACGAAATAGCTCCTATCACCATAACCAGCCACCCATCCTTCGTTGTTTGGATAAAGCTCATACACATGGTCACCAAGGGGACGCACATTGTATCTCCCAATTAACTCAAACTCGGTACGAAATTTGTGGTAAATGTCTCTAGTGTAGGACTTATAAGCTTGCTTCTCAATTGGAAAATTGGACCACAACTCAACCTGTTGGTGGTCTGTCCTGTAGTCATCCCACCCTCTTGGACAAGCACATGCGTCTGAATCTTCTCATATTGTTTCACAAAGTTTAACACAGAGTTGTGGGGGTTAACATAACGCTTCAGGACAACATTGAATCCTTCACTACGTTGTGTTGATTGCAAGAAAGGGAAAAACCTATGTTTGAAGTAACATGGCACAAACATAGTTCGGTACTCATAGAGCTTATCAAAGTGAGTGCCAGCAACAACTGGCCACTTCAGCACAAAAGCAGCCCACTTACTCTCAAACTCTTCTGGAGTGAAGCTGAAGTCAATGCAATCATTGAAATCAGCTGACATTCATGGGTTTCTCCCCAACATGCCACCTAGTTTTTCTTGGGATTTTTTCATAATATGCCAACGACATCGACGGTGCACAGTAGTAGGGAAGATGTTTTCAATGGATTGCGCCATCGCACCATCTTGGTCAGTGATTATATTATCAGGTGCTCGACCATGCATTGCTTCAAGGAATGTTCCAAATAGCCAATCAAAGCTGGTCTCCAACTCTTGCCTAACAAAGCCACAACCTAACATGAACGACTGGCCATGTCGATTGATCCCAATGAATGGAGCAAACGGCATGTTGTACATGTTAGTCATGTATGTTGTATCAAAACATATGCAATCATGATAAGCATCACTGTATGCCTTCAATGCTGGACCATCAACCTAGAAAATATTCTCAACCCTGTCCTCTGCATCATACTTAACCTTGTAGAAGAAATCAGGATCTGTCTTCTGCATCTTTTCAAAGTAGGCAACTGTCTCAATCAAATAACCCTCCTTCGTTGCATTTCTGTTCAAGTTTGACTTGAGGTTTGTGACGTGCTTGTTATTATAAGGAACAATCAGCTCTATGCTATAGTATTCTAACATAATGTTCATCATTCGCCCTACGCATGAAAAAAACAAGGCAACTCAGGTGACAACTATAAGCAAATAAACCCATATATGAAAGCAACTATAGGCAACAAAAGATTTTACAATTCAGGGGAACAATCAGATATGCAACATAGTACTCTTTCAACATAATGCGCATCATTCGTCTTGTGCGGAAAAAAGTAGGCATATCTTGACATGTTAAGCAATCAAGTCTTAGGTAGGAAGCAACTAACACCTAATTATTAAAGTATTTGTTTTAGTAATCAAAACAAGCAACAAAACACTAGCGGGGTAATATGAACTCAAACTAACACCTAATTCATGGGTTTCGCAACAGGCAAGCAACTGTCACATACCTGAACTCAAGTTGCAGTTATGAAGGTTTGTTAGAAACAACCTCTCTTCTGGAGGAATGCCTTGGTGCGACCGCAAATATTTAGATAAAGATGGTTTGTCAACCAACGGATGGTTATGCTCAGAAATGTAGTAAGTCACCTCCCACCGACCATCAATGAATTTTACTATCATCTTGGCATTGCACCCTGTTGGTATTATTTTCTCTCTTTTCCGTTTCTTGGTCTTCTTCTTTTGCTCAGCAGCATCATCAACAAATATGATAACATTGTCTTCTCCATCATCATCATCTGCACCTCCATGAGGATCTTCAACTCCACAAGGATCCGCAGTCTTACCACCTGTGTCTTCATTTTTTGGTTTCCTGAACTTGTTGCAGACAAATTGATACTTCTCCATTTGACCGGTGATATCAGACCTCCTCGAAGTGTTCATTTTGATTGAAAAACCCTTTTGCAAAGCATAAGCATTGTAGTGCTCTCTGGCACCTTCCAAAGTGTCAAACCTCATGCCCAATGAAGGCTCTTTTGGCTGAGACCATGCTTCATCATCATTGTCAGCACCCTCTCCTGCACCTTCATGCCCAATAGCCCCCCCTGTTGCACCCAACGTATCTGTAGCATCAAGGGTGTGCTCCTCTATTTGGACTGCTTCATCCTCAGCACCAACATTTTTCCGTGTGACCGAAGGATTAGGAGATTCAGCGACAAATTCCACAGTAGTTGCCCCACCCACACGTGTAGTAGGTTGCGTGTAGAACAATGGGTTACTAGTTTGCACCAACCCAACACTTGGTGGCAACTCGTCTTGATCATCATCTGGCAACTCATTAAGATCAATCATCTCCTCCCCTGTATAATATTGTTGGAATAAAGACAGAGAAGTACATGAGTTATTTCTTTTAACACGAGGTACCACGTTTTGCTTGTTGAATTACACAAGCATTCAAAAATGAACTAGTTAGTGGGTCAGAAGCAACTACTGAACACTTATACAACAACAATGTAGCAATCAGAAGCAACATTGGAATTTTTTTACTTATGTATCTACCCTTATTTGTTTTCCAGGAGGAGAGTAACCAGGAGCAACAATTGCATGACAAAGCTCATTTTTCTATATTTTCCGGTCTGAAGATAAAGCAGGATAGCATAAATCATGATGTTTCTCTATTTAGAAACCATTGGCTGGCCAATTTGTTGGAAATGAAGAAACCATACTGTACTAGTAGTTCCGAATGCTTGTTGAATTTTTTCAGTCCCATGAATGTTGTTCACTGTTTGTTCGTTTATCTACAATGAAGTGATGCTTTTTTTGTAGTACCCAAAGTGGATTAAATACACATGTGGATCCTCCTTTGTCTGGCATATTTCATTTTTTCAGGGGGAAATTCGATCTAGATTTTTGTTTTGAAGGAGTCTAGCAAAAGTATCATGCATGAAGAACATATCAAAAAAATCAAAACAACAAGCTCAAAAGGTACTATCTCATAATCTTTTTCTCCTACTAGTTGTGGCACATCTAATTTTTCCTGTTTTATTTTTTATTTCCGCACCAAGTTGCTTGCCGTGACACATCTAATTGTCTAAATAAAAGCATGCAGACTTGGTTAAATTCAATCAAGTCCCTTTGCTTACTAGCACACCTACTATCGCCTACCCTCCATATGCAGAATTGCTTTTTCAGTTGTCCATGGACTGCATGCCCAATAAAGTCTGTGTTACTAGATATTTGCAGCACAAGCGTGGACACTGATACGTCTCCAACGTATCTATAATTTTTAATTGCTCCATGCTATATTATCTACTGTTTCGTACTATATTGGGCTTTATTTTCCACTTTTATATTATTTTTGGGACTAACCTATTAACCGGAGGCCCAGCCCAGAATTGCTGTTTTTTTTGCCTATTTCAGTGTTTCGAAGAAACGGAATATCAAACGGAGTCCAAACGGAATAAAACCTTCGGAAACGTGATTTTCTCACCGAACATGATCTAGGAGACTTGGACCCTACGCCAAGGCATCAGAGAGGCGGTCACGAGGGTGGGGGGTGCCCCCCTTAGGACGCGCCCCCTGCCTCGTGGGCCCCTTGATGCTCCACCGACGTACTCCTTCCTCCTATATATACCTACATACCCCCAAACGAACAGATACAGAGCCAAAAACCTAATTCCACCGCCGCAACTTTCTGTATCCACGAGATCCCATCTTGGGGCCTGTTCCGGAGCTCCGCCGGAGAGGGCCGTCATCACGGAGGGCTTCTACATCATCATAGCCTCTCCGATGAAGTGTGAGTAGTTTACCTCAGACCTTCGGGTCCATAGTTAGTAGCTAGA